GGTTGGCAAGTGACATCTTTTAGCCGTAGGATTTCTCTTATTTACTTCAGGCCCCTCTCTTCCCTAGTGCTTGAGAATCAATCAAGGCCAAAGTAACTGACCCAGCCTGCCATTCACCACCATCAAACCCTGTGCCAACTCTGCTGAAAAGAAGACAAAGAAACAAACTGGGACCCTGCACCTAGGGGCTTCTCAGGCACTGTAAGAGAAAACAGCCTGAGAACAATGCAGGACAGCGTAGCATCAAAGGCAAGAGCGTGTGGCTCCGACTCTGACGAGCCAGAGAAAGGTGGAGAAGGGCCAGATCAGTGTGTGCTGAGGGTGACAAAGGCTTACTTCCTCAACATTTGGGTCAGTTTCTTTTTCTCTCCTTTAGCAAACACACTGGTTTCCCACCTCTTTATTTCAGAAGGAACAGAATCCAGTGGGACAGTTACATTTTCCTACTTTATTGAGTCATCACATACAGTGGGCCCAGTGCTGAGGTAATTATGGGGCTTAGACCTGCAGGGAGACTGTCCCTTGCAATTTAGGCCAACCCAGCCTGCTGTCTGACCAGTTCTGTGTAGTGTGGGCAGAGGGAGCTGCCTGAGTACGTGAATGTGAAAGGCAGTAAGGGCTCCCCACTGGGCTACCAGATTGCCTGAAATTTCCCTTTAGAACTTCAAATGCTTATTCCCCTGAGACAGATGGATGTCACATGAAGGCCTGACCTGTCATTTACTTCTGAGTGAATTAGCTTTTCGTATAAAGCCCTACTGATAACTAGATGAGAGCAGGGTTTAATAGGGGAGAAAGCTGATTTAGAGCAATGGTACTCACGCTTTTTGAGTATAGGTACCCATTTTTAACATAAATAAATTTCATAGACTTCCACATGATTGAGGAAAATGCATAATAATTTTTTTTAAAAAACCTTTGAATTCAGTGCTTTTAAGTTAACTTGAATTTTATGCATCACAACAGCATCTAGTTAAGTTTTTAAAAATAGGAAGTCATGTTTGAGATCTAATTTTTATTTAGTGTTTAGGAGGTATGCCTGCTTGTTTATGTATTCACATATGGATTTGAAGAGCCTTTGCAATAACTCCACTGGATAGGATGGATAGGGCATGGGACACTGCCTTTGGAGGTGACGGATGTGGGGCTGGTTAATGGAGCAGTGGTAAGGGCATTATTTGCCAGAAGGTGAAGAGGAACTGGGAATGATACTGGGACAAGAGATACTAAGACAAGCATTGCCAACTTTCTAGCTTTAGCAAGAGTTTTCTCCATAGCTGTAGGGAACACTATAGTCAGAGGCCACATTTCCTTGCTTTCTGATAGAAATGCCTTTGGGTTTCAGAGAGTGCCATAGCAGTTATTTATGACCCTCCATAGGTTCATCCTCAAGCCATTGTTTCTATCCTAGGCACCCACCTTTCTTTGAACCTGGTCCAACAGAAAGGAAACAGATGCCAGTGTCCGTATGGCTAGAGTTTGTGTGACTGTTCCCTCGCTTCCAATCCCCTCCATCCCTGCCCCTGAAATACTTTGCCCACCCCATTTTCTCTACCGATGGTAGATCACAGAGGAAGTTGCCACGATAATAGTAAGAATTTATTTTTATATATTATTTTACAATTTACAAAGCATTCTCCTCAAAGAATCTTCTAAGTTCCCTTCTTTCTCCAAGTTCTGTGGTCTATGACATTATGAGGTACGTAATACAAGTATTATTATTCTCATTTTACAAATGAAGATGTGGAGGCTTAGAGAGGATAAGTGATTTGTTTACTATAGCATGGGTGGGGTAATGTAGCAAAGCCAGCACTTAAACATAGGTCTGACTCCAAGCCCAGTCTATGCTTCCTCTCGTAGAGTTAGGCTTAGGTATAGGAGAAGGAGCTCTGACAGACTTGTGTTTGTCCTTATGCCTTTTGAAAAACATACCTGTGAAGTATAAAGACGTCTACAAAATCTTTATGAAGGTGATCTATCACATCTTTATAGGCGTAATTAACTGAGAGGTAAATAGAGAATGGGCACTGGGTGGTGCCATAGTGCCCAGAGTGCCAGGCCTGGAGTCCAGAAGACTCATCTTTCTGAGTTCATATCTGGCGTCAGACACTTAGTAGCTGCATCACCCTGGCAAGTCACTTACCCTGTTTGCCTCAGATCCTCATCCATAAAATGAGCTGTAGAAGGAAATGGCAAACCACTCCAGTATCTTTGCCAAGAAAACCCCTCAAGGGGTCACAAATTGTTGGACACAACTGAAATAAGTGAACAACAACAAAAATAGAGAATACGTAATCATAACATTTTATACATGCTCAAACTGTTGCTTTAGAGTACTCTTTAAGGCTTTCCTCTTACCAGGTATCTCTTGTATATATTAAGAGCATAGAAAAATCCTTAATATAGGCAACTACAAAGTTCAGCAATAACTATCAATTTTAACTGAGGTATAAAAAGGAGTATAAAAACCTCAGCAGAGGTCTTTTCATGGAAGATTTCCTGTGCATTTCTCTGTAGACATAAAGGTCCTCTATATGCTTCTACTTGTAGGTGATAGGGGCATAGCATCATAGATGGGGAGTGGCAGGGAAATGTAGAAGTTAGCTAATGCAACCCATCCTCTTCATTCCGCAGATGATGAAACTGAATGGATATTTTAATTTTTGCCTTGTCTCAATGGGTTGGAAAAGGGTGGAGAGAGGAAGAGAATTTGGAACTGAAAATAAAAATTAAATTAAAAAAAGATGGGGAAACTGAGGCTCAGAGGGGGGGAAATCCCTGTCTAGAACCACCCAGATGCCAGAGGTAGGATTTGAACCTAAGACCTCTGCCTCCAAATCCAGCATTTTTTTTTCTACTACTCCAAGAATGAAAACAAGAGGCAGAGAGGAAGACTGTGAGCCAGGTGCCATTGCCATTGAAAAAGGTGGAAGAATTTGCAGGTATTTACCCCATCAAGGTTAAAGAAGAGTCCCTTATATTCTAAACTATCCCCAGAATCACTTTCTGTGGTAACAAAGAACTGTGAAGAAAAGAGAAGCCCATCAGCTGAGGAATGGCTAAACAAAATGTACATGAATTTTATTGGAATATCACTAAGCTATAAAAAGTGATGAAGATGAAGAATTCAGAGAAGCATGGAAAGACATGAACTAATGCAAAGTGAAGTCAGCAGGTCCGAGAAGACGATGACTACAGCAACGTCAAGGCAAAGAACAGCCGACACATTGAGATTGAAAACCATGTAATTATAGAACAGAAAAGAAGCTTGGCCTTGGAAAGGTTGAGAAAATGAACCTTCTCTTTGCAGAGGAAGGGGATTATGAGTTTGAAGTGTTGTCATATGGTAAATATGTTAGTCTTACTGAACTGCCTTTTTTTTTAAAAAATCATCCTACAAAAGCAGCCAGGTGGTGCAGGGGCTAGGATGTCCGGAAGTCTCATCTTTGTGAGTTCAAATCTAGCCTCAGACACTTATTAGGTGTGTGACTTTCGACAAGTCACTTAACCTCGTTTGCCTCAGTTTCTTCATCTGCAAAATGAGCTAGAGAAGGAAATGACAAACCACCCCAGTATCTCTGCCAAGAAAACCCCAAATGTGGGATCATGATGAGTGGGACAACACTGGAAACAACTGAACAACAGCAGTTGAACAACACAAATGATGGCTTGCCACATAAGGCACTGGAGGAGGAATATATTTGGAAATGAATGTGATTTAGAAACAAAAAGCATCAATAAAAATAAAATTTCACAAGAAAAAAAGGAGAAGGGAAAATTTCCTGGAGATTGTTTTGTGACATGGAAAAAGATGGAGAGAGAGTGGTATAATTGGGATGATGTAAACTTTAAGGAGGAGAAGTTGGAGAGTAATTGTGATAAATTAAATGTTTTAAGAATTTAGGAGGAAGAGATTCATGATTTGGCCATAGGGCCCATTGGGATGGGCCACGCTGTGTTTGGGACTTTGATTTAACGCCTTCATCTCAGAGCTCAGAAAACACTTGTGTTTTGGTGTGCTTGTAACAGCAGCTTGGCACCTTGCTGGATTTGTATCTGCTTTTAGCAGTAGGAAAACTAAAGCGCTAGAGAGGGAGTAGGATGAGAAGCTAGCTCCTTAGGTCTTGCCCTCAGGCCCCACCTTTCTCTGTGAACTAGAGCAAAGCCTTGGTTCCCCAGCAGCAGTTCAAAGTGCTCACAGTTAACCCACCAGCCAGGCCAGACAACAAAATGTTTGCTTCCATCCTATTTCACCTGTCAACATCCCTCTGGCACTAAGAAGAAATTAATTGGGAGAACCAAACCCTGGGCTGTGCCGCTGGCCAAAATCCAGTCTGGGCTAAGAAGGTAGGCTCTGGAGGTCAGGTTCCAAGTAGCCTGGGGCCCCAGCCAGAGGCAGGAGACCTTGAAACTGCCACCTGTGTAACCATCCTTGTGGGACCAAGAAACGAACAAGGTGCATGATAAGGTTTGGTGCTGAGTAAGCACGTGAAAGAAGTGGATGTCTGAAAATGTTCTGGGGCTGGGCAGGTCCCTTCCACCCTATCCTCAAACGCTGCTGGTCTGGGTGTCTATGAATGCTCAAGGGGACTAACCACTCTATCTCTCTCCTCCATTTTTTCCTTTCTATCCCACCTCTTCTCTCATACCCTACATTCACAATAAGAAAAAAATCCAGGACCATATTAAGCATAAAATATTAATATGTTGATACATATTGTGACCAGAGGAGGGAGAGATTTGGGTGGGCTGGAGTAACCAAGAAAGGTTTCATAAAGAAGGTTGGAATTGAGTTGGGCCTTGAAGGATTTACAGAACATAGCAGAGTGATTAATGGGGCCCAGGCTATCTCCTCCCACTGGAAAAAGGTGAGGGGAAACAGGTCACAGTCCCCATCAACCTCTCCCTCAAGAGATCCTGAGTCAGAAAGGGAAATGAGTGTACTGAAGTCCTTTCATTTGGCTCTTAGTGACCTCTTCCCAACTGTTTTCTCTCCCCAGGATCCAGCAGCTGCATCCATCTCAGATGGAGACTGTGATGTCCGGGAAGGAGAGACTGTAGCCATGAATTACAAACCATCCCCACTCCAAGTGAAATTGGGTAAGTGTGCTCGTGGGGACCCTGGCCTACGCCCCTATAGGTAGTACTGCCAAGGATTCTTCTCATCAGAGAAAGGTGGGCAGCTCAGCACCAGAGTCCTAATATCCATGGGCTTGATCTATAATAGATTACAAGTATGCTATCCTTATCTCCTGTTGTTACAGAGTCTCTCCTTGTACCCTCCTGGGGAGGGTCAACCTCCTAGGAGCAAAAAGTGGTTAAGGAAGGATTTGGGAACTCTGCTCTCTTTGGAGACAATGGCAAGTGTTTGGGCAGGAAATGTTGTGATAGTCACTCTGCCTCCAAAATGAAGGCCTTAAAAGATAAATAGCATTTAGGCAAGCAGAAGAAGTGAGAGGTCATTCTAGTTAAGAAGAAACAGAAACAAAGACAGGGAGAAAAGAAACTGCAGGGTCCTCTAAGTTAGAGAATATCATTATGACTAGAATATAGCAATGTGGGAGGAAATCATGGAAGTTTGAAGGCTGGAAGGCTAGAATAACAGAATTTAAAGACAGAAGGTACCTTGGAATTATCTCCTAGAAACTCCCTAATTTTACATTTGAGGGAACCAAAGTTCAGAGAACATAAATGACTCGTCTGTGGTCACACTCTAGGCAGCAGAGCCAGGTCCTGTGGGTCAGATGAAGAGTCAGATCATAAAAAGCCTCAGACACCAGGTAAAGGAGGATAGACTCGATTCTCTAGTTGATGGGGAGCCATGGAAGATTTCTGAGCAAAATTACAACATGATGGAATTTTTAAGAAGTTAGACTTTATTGGAGCACAAAGATGTTCACAAGATGATCTTGAAAGCTTATCTCAGACACCACCTGGTACAGGAAGCCTCTCCGGCTTCTCCAGTGTTCTCTTCTTCCCCAAATTATTTGATATTTACTTATTTGTATACAGTGGAATATAAGCCCCTTGAGGACAAGGGCTATTTTGTCTTTATAGCCCCAGTGCCTAGCATAATGGCTTGCCCATGTTAGACACTTGATGAATGTTTATGCTCAGACATTTACTAGCTGTATAGCCCTGGGCAAGTCACTTAACCCTGTTTGCTTCAGTTTCCTTATCTGTAAAATAAGCTGGAGAAGGAAATGGCAAACCACTCCAATATCTTTGCCAAGAAAATCTCAGGTGGGGTCATGAGAAGTCAGATACAGCTGAAAATGACCGAACAACAAAAAATTTTTGAATTGGAAAAAAAAACAGGAAGCTATTGCCATAGCCCAAGAATGGGGTGTTAAGGATCCATGCAGTGAAAATTGAAGGAAGGCGAAGTATGGAAGACAAATTATGAAAGATACATTTTCACCTTGGGCATTTGCATCTCAGGGTTTTCCAGGCATCATGGTGGCCATAGCAACTGGGAGTGGAGAGATAGGGGTGATAAGGAGAAAAAGGTCTGTGAGATTCCACCATCTCTGGCAGAAGGGGCTGCTTGACATCTTCCAAGGCACAAAGTGCTTCAGAGCTGAGGACTGAGCTGCCCACTCTCATCCCCATAGCCTGCCCAGCAGCAGAGATGGCTATTCTCACTTGAATATCAACAGAGCACATATAGTCTATGCTGGGCCTGTTAGCAGCCCTAAGCCACATATATGTCACATGTGTCTGTCTTCATCTCTTCCTGTTTCCTTCTTTCCCATTCTCTGGCCCTGTTTCTCTGGGGCTCAATTCCCTCATCTGTAAAATGAGTGCATTGGACTAAATGATCTCTAAGGTCCCTTCTAGCTCTAAAATACTATGGACCAAAGATCCCTATTCTCATGTCTTTTTAAAAAAAATTTTTATTAATTTATTTTGATTTATCAACAATCACTTCCATAAGCTTTTGAGTTTAAAATTTTTCTCCCCTTCTCTCTTCCCATCCCTCCCCAAGATGGCACTCAATCTGAAATAGGCTTTATGTATATATTCCTATTGAACATATAAATTTTTTTCATGTCTTTTTTTTTCCCCCAAGATCCCTATTCTCTCTCTGCCTAACCCCTCAGGCCTCGTCCTTTCCCAGTCTGGAATATTATGCCCCATCCCCTTCCCATGTGCACCGTTAGCTTCCCCCCCCCCATTCTCCCTAACTCCTCAGTACCCTCCCTCGTCCCATTTAGCCCTTCCTCTCTCTACCTCTCTGATCCCCTATCCATCTGTGCTACCAAGAGGAAGCCTCTGCAATAAGAAATAGAATCTGGAGGCTGAAGGGGGAAGCCAAGCCCCTCAATCAATACCATTAGCATCTCCTTCTCTACTCAGCTTCCTGCAGTGGGTTATCCCTCTGCCGTCTGTCTCCCCCAGCCCCTCCTTCTGTCCTGCTGATCTTCAGCCTGGCTCCTCCAGCTGGGATTCATGCTAATTAGGTGAAGCAGCTGTTGTTTCTGTGCTGAAATTGGCAGGGGGTGGGGGGTGGGCAAGGCAATTGGTCAGAGAGTAGCTATACACAGTAGCCCCTGGGGCCTAGCCTCATTCTCTTACCTGACAGGTCCCCAGCCTTTCTGTGTGAGAAAGGCGCCTTGAAAGCATGAGCTAGGATCACTGGGGTGGATACTGGGCATGGTGTTTCCTGCCCTTGGTTGCTCAGGCTCTGGTCTATGAAGGATTAGAAGCAGCATTGCCCTGGTTCATAGAATTCCTTGCTCTAAGAAGTCCTCCCCACCCTGCCTGGAAGGAAGCAGCATGGTACATTGGAAAGCTCCTGATATTTAGAGTCTGAGACCTGTGTTCACATCCTGACTTTGTCAAACACTTAGGAGCTCTAAGTGCGCTGTAGCTTACTAGATGTCTTGGCAGGTCACTTCACATCTCTGGGTCTCAGTTTCATCATTTGTAAAATGAGAGAACTGTACTTCACCTCCAAATCTATGACCTCATGGTGTCTGAGGAGCCCCTCACCCAGCTCTGCTGCCCTCAACAGAAGGGTGTGTGACCAGAGCACCTGGCCAACTTAGTAAGGGATGTACTGCGTATGAATTCTGTCCTCAAGTGGCCCTTCTCTGAGTGCTTGTCCCCTGCAAGAGCCTAACACACACACACACACACACACACACACACCCTAACCCCCCCTCACCATGCCTGGTTGTCTCCTCTCACAATCTTTTTCTGTTCAGAGCATTTGGCCCCATAAAAGATCCAGCCCTCAGCCTTGGGCCTCCTTCATCAGCATCAGCAGGGCCTTGGGGGAGGAGGGTGATAAAGGAAGATGTAGGGTGGAAATTGGTGTGGGGAACTTAAGAGATTGGCATAGGAAAGTGCGTAGAAAACTAGTGAAGACAGAGAAGTCTGTTGGCAGATAGAAATAGATGCTTGGAGTCGAGGCATAGAGGGAAGAGACAGGAACCCTCAAAGGCTGCCATCAGGGTAGGAGCTTCCTGAGCTCCTGGCTCCCCACCAGGGCGAGTGCCCTTCCTCACTCTGGCCTCAGAGAAGGCCTAGGTGGAGTGGTGCCCTGGTGACTGGCAGAAGTAGCCTGTCTCTGGGGGCAGGGTGCTGGGAGTTTAATGGGCTCACCCTACTATAGGCCCTGCCCACAGCGAGGTGAGGGGGAAAGGGGACACAACCCTCACACATGAACCAGAGGTCATCTGTGTGACAGCTATCAATTAGTCAATCAGCAAGCACTTATTAATACTTGCAGTGTGTTGGGGTACTAAGGAGATGCAAAAACAGCCCCTGATCTCAAGGAGCTCACACTGTAATGTGTAGCCCTGTGAGTCTGTGCCACACTATGGCATTGCCTCAGGCAAGAGTGATTGAGCCTCTTGCTGGGGTCCCTATGTTGGAATTCCCCTGGCTGTGACCGCCACCTAGCGGTCTTGTTGGGGACTACAGCATAACAGCCTAACCTGGCAGGGACTCCTCCCAGCATTCCCCACAGTTGCCTGAGGCTGGGGTCCTATCTGGATTGTCAGGAGAGATGAGGCCTGAGGCTGGATGCCTTCACAAAACCTTAAAGGAATAGAAGTTTGCCTTTGCCTTAGTTTTCCCTTTCTATGACTTTTCCACCCTCCTGGCAACTTACCCAACCCAGTGGTTTTTCTCTCCTCTCCTTTCTTCCCCTCTCTTTCTCTCTCCATCTCTCTCCCCCCACATACTTTTTTCCTCCTCTCTTCCTCTCCCTTTCTTCCTGTCTCCCTCACCCCCTCATTCTCCCTGACCCCCACCAGGCACATTGGATAGAACACCGAGCTTAGAGTCAAGAAGAACTGATTTCAAACCCTGCCTGAGACACTAGCTGTGTGACCCTGGGAAAATCATTTAACTTCTGTCATTCTCCTCATCTATAAAATAAAGGAATTAGACTAAAGTGTCCTCTGAGGTTCCTTCTAGTTCTAAAACTATGATCCTATAAACACCATTATCATAGAAGGACTTGACTTAATATCAGGCTTTTATTCCTTAGAATAAATGCTAACCCCTGTTTTCCTCCTCCTATGAGATTTGGCACTTTAACTCTTATCCCTAATTATGCAAGCCTTTCGCCTACCACCATAAGGATTTCAGGCCCCAGTCTTGTTTTGGGGAAGAAGGGAGGGTCTTCCCTTGGCCTCAGAAATTACAATTGATAGTGACCCCCCGATTTGAAAGAGCTGAGAACATAGTGGCTGTGGTGTATTGAGCCGGCAGAGGGAGGAACAAATGAGGACCCAGCAGGAATGGAACAGGTATTTTTTGGGTCCAAGAGGCTGAATTTAGTCCATTCCTTACTAGGGAAAAAAACGTTTTCTCTGGGTCTTCCTATATCTCTAAGTTTGATGATAATAATAATTATGATGATGGTAATTAATTATTAACAATAATAATAGGAAGCATTTTTGTAGCACTCTAAGATTTGCAAAGCACTTTACATAAAGATGCTATTATTATTTCCATTTTACAGGTAAGGAAACTGAGGCTGAGAGAGGTTAAATAACAAAGTGGATAGAGTGCTGGACTTGGAGACAGAAAGGCCTGAGTTTGAGCTGTGCCATCTAACTGCCAACAATTATACCAAAAAAATGATTTTTTAAATAAACCAAATTATACATATTTTTTTTGTTTTTAAATTTTTAGTTCTATAAAGGATACTTAAAGTCCCCAATATCATATTTTTTAATCTGTTTAATTAAATTGAATTTCAAATTCATCAAGTTTCTACTTTTCCCCAAAGAAGACCAAATGTATGTGACTCAGACTTCGTTCATGAGATCATAGGATTTAGGGGGACCTTGGAGTGTGTCTAGTGTAGCTGTGCCGCCCATGACAGACTCCCTCTCCCAGGCCCAGCAGCTGCTGTTCAGAGCACTTCCAGGAGTTAGGAAGAGAAGAAGGCCTTTGGGGACAGCCGTTACCTTCCTGGATTAGAGCTGGTCTCACTCCAGCCATGAATAAGAAGGTTCAATTTCATTTCCATCAGCTTCCCGAAAAGCTGTCCCCTAAGAGCAATGATTTGTTTCTGCAGCAGCTCAGGCTTTCTTCCCAGGAGACTGTCTACAAATTCAGTTGGCAAGAAAGCCTTTTTTTTATTTGGGAGCTGTTCATTAGAAAGGAAAAATAGGTAGTCAACACCTGGTAGGGCTGGGTAGGAGATAAGATGAGAGAAAAGGGAATGTAGTCTTCCCCCCCCCCCACCCCACTGCTAGCACCTGCTAGGCTGGTGACAGCTCCTTCAGGCCACTGGGAGCTGATTGGCTGTATTCCCCACCCCCCAACCTCACCACCACCACCACTGCTAGGATCTCAGGAGCATCCCTGAAGTATTTTTACAGGCATGGGTGAGGCCCAAGATCATCTATTTGAGCCATCAACACAAATCAACTAAGGGATTACTGGTTTTCTTCCCCTCCACTCTAAGATACACACCATCACCAGATTAAGTTTCTGGCGGCCTAGCTTTCATTACGTGACTCCTCTGCCGAAGAACCTTGAATGGCTCCCTGTTGCCCACTGCATCAAGTCTAAACTAATTCAAGGCCCATCACAATCTAACCCCACTCCACCTCTTTAATCTTATTTCCTACCACTCATTCATCCTCCAGGCTAGTCTTATCAATGTCTCATATAGTGTTGCATATGCATGAGTTTTATATCCTCAGTCTGACTATAAAAACCCCCAAAGGACAAAGATTATACTTGATTCTTTTCTGTCTCTGTCCTAGCATAGCCCAGTCAATTTTCTGAATGTGGAAATGTAAGTTTATTTGGGGGGTAGAAGAGGAGAGGGGCTGAAGCAGAGAGAATGGAAGGGAGCTCATCGTAATTAGCAAGACCAGGAGGGCAAAGACATGGCAGAGGGGCAATCAACAGCCTCCCCCAACATTAAGGTTGCCTATGCTCTCATTCATTCTGCCACTCACCATGCTGCTTACCTGATAGGGCGAGACTATTGCAAAACAGTGATGTCTACAAAGGTTGGGTTTCCTTCCTTTAGGGAAGCCTCCTCCAAGCAAGGCATTATTCCTCCATTCCTTTTGCTTACTCTCAGTTGACTGATTACTTAATCCTTACTAAAGCACTGATGACTGATAATGACTTAAAGTTTGGCCCCTTTCTGGTATGGCTGTAATAGGGAACTCAAGAAGCCTTGAATACATCAAGATCAAGAATGACTCATTTCAAATGGTGAATTTCTGACCCCATGGCATTTAGGATTAGGGAAATCCCCATGTCCTTTCATCTTATTCTACAGACAACTGCTTCCTTCTTCTATACATAGAGCCCCAATACCCTGTATAGCAATTCCACAGAGTTAATAGGTTTGCTTTTCGGTAGAGAGGATTATAAATAGATAAAAGGAAGGGAGAAAGATGGGAGACCTCCTTTCCTGAAGAGTCCCTGAGTAAATAACTTAACTTCTCAGGGCCTCAGTTTCCTCATCTGTGAAATAAGGGAGTTGGATATGATTCCTCCAGCTCTGAATCTCTGATCTTATGACCACCATGTACTTGACCTCTAGAGGGCCCTCCCACCCTCTTCATTATTGATTTGCTTGTTTTGTTGTCCCAATAGGGATCAGGTGAGAAGGAAGAGGAGATAACCTAAGTACAGTCCCCCACATCCCAAGAACTATCCTTGTGAAGCTCACAAAATATAGAAAGAGCCTGGTCAGTGCGAGTTGAATGAATGGGCAAAAAATATCCGGCAGAAGAATCTAGTAATTTGACCTGCCTCCATCTTCCTTCCCACCTCTCTCTCTCTCACTTCACTCCAACTAGGCCATCTCCTCAGATCCTGGCCTATACCTCACACACCCACCCACACTCAGAGGCAGAGAGACCCCAAGCTACACAGGCTTTTCCTTTGGGGGTGGGGTAGTTGATGGTGGGTCATCTCCCAGAGCATAGGCCCCAGGTCCAGGGTAGCTTGAAGGCCAATGTCTGTGTCTAAATCTGTTAGAGGACTAGTTTATTTGTAAACAAAGGAATTTTTAGAGCCTGTCTGGCTCTAGGTTCCATAAACAAGACATCAAAAAAAAAAATCAGTCTTTTTTTAAAGCCAAGAAACAGAGGAAATAAAAAAGGCTTTTGGTAGGAAAAGCAGAACAAAACTGGCAGAAACTTAGTCAATGACTGAGGTTGGACATATTGGAACTAGGAGTAGGAGAGAAGGCATAGAGTGGAGAGCCGCCTTCAGCAGCTGGACAGAGGTCTCCAAGCCTCAGGAGATTCTAAGGGAGCTGGCAGTGCTGAGCTGGGTGCAGCTTAGCTGGAGCCAAGTTATTTCCCCTTTCTAGGCCCCAGTTTTCTCGTGTGTGAAATGACAAGCTTGAACTAGATGGTCCCTAAGGTCCCTCCTAGCTCTTCTGTTCTATTTATGAGTATATCAGAAGCTATCAAATAGGATAAATTGATTCTTGCTAGATCAGGTGAGGAAAATGCTTCTGTGCCCAGAGTGATCCAGGCTGTCACTAGCATTAACATGAAGACAGAATTGTTAACCAGGTGGCAGACAAAAGCAGAGATCCTGAACTCCAAAGAGATCTTGGAGACTCGGGAGTAGGGCATGGTGAAGACATATTCCCAGGAGTACTGGGGACCCCCAGTTTCTGCAGGGGTGGGGCGGGCCTGGAGTTGTATTGCAGGAGGAGGATGGTGACGTCTTTTTTACAGGAATCAGCAAAGCTGATTGGAGGGAGGGGCTTGGGGGAGGTTCTTAGGGTTTGAATCAGGCAGTGGAACTCAACTGCTTTAGGAAGGTGCGTGGTTTGGGCTTCTTTTTCAGTAGATGGCCTGGTGCCAGAGGCCCCCAGAGTGGGAGAGAAGGACAAGAAAGGCAGCTTCCTTCCCTTGCCATTGTCTGTCTGTTGTCAGGAGCCAGGCTGCCATGAGGCTATCAGCCTCATCCTCATAATAATGATGTTCCCTCTGCAGAGAAACAGCGAGAGCTTGCTCGAAAGGGCTCCTTGAAAAATGGCAGCATGGGCAGTCCAGTCAACCAGCAGCCCAAGAAGAACAATGTGATGGCTCGAACAAGGTAAAATGTTTCTTCTCTGTCCCCACCTCTGTCACTCAGATCACCCCAATTGACAGAGCTTCCTTTGCATCTTTATTCTTCTAGAATAGGGGCCTGGGATATGATGAGTGGGAGGGCAAGTAGACAATGGCCCCACAATTGGTAGGGATTTGGCGGCATTGAGCCCTTCTGGGGCCAGGCTTAGGCATGCGGGTCTTGACCTGGCTGATAAACAAAGGTTTCTGTCCTTGACCAGTGCCCCATCCTCCTTGTAAACCTCACACTAGGCCTGCCATTGGTGCCTGCGCCTCTGTTGTATTCAAGAGTACCTGGCATGGACCACTCTGTCCACAGTTCAGCATGCCAGTTCCCTTTGGGATGGAAAGGAAAGCTTAGAACTCCCTAGCATAACGCCCAGAACAGACAGGCAAAAAAGGGAAAGGGCCTGCCATGGCCAGCTAACCATGGCCCTTCTGTTCTGTTCTATCCAGGCTGGTTGTCCCCAACAAAGGATACTCTTCACTTGATCAGAGTCCAGACGAGAAACCATTGGTGGCCCTTGACACGGACAGGTATGGAAGCCTGGGACAGAGGATAGGCCTGCACCCAGAATAAATAAATGAAGGGTGTGTATGTGTGTGTGTGTGTGTGTGTGTGTGTGTGTGTGTGTGAGAGAGAGAGGGAGAGAGAGAGAGAGAGAGAGAGAAAAGGAGGCTCTAGATAGGAGGAGATCAGTTCTTTCAGCTATCCAGAACTGACTTTTTAGTCTTCCCTGGGTATGTACCACCTCGGTCCTGGGATTTAAATTCAACAAATGTTTAATAAGTGCCTATTCTGTACAAAGCACCATGTTAGGTACTGGGGAATTGACATGTACCCTAGCCACTGTTACACCTCCATTCTGCAGTCACCTTGGTCCCAAAAGCTTCCCTTGGAGCATGGCTTCCTTACCTACCTTCCAAAAATATCTTCTTGAGTTTTAAGCCATTTGCTGTTGACCTTGCTCACCTCTGCTCCTTCTGGAGATTTCTGGCTGTAAGCCCTGGAAATCCTACTATTACTCATAATCTCCTGCATAAGGAAAGTGCTATCTGGTCCCAGGATTTTTCCCCTGGGCTTCAGGCCACCATGTACTCATTTTGCAGTCACCTCCCTTCACTCTCTGAGGATAGGATCCAGGGCCTGGAAGTATCACCCTCACCTCGCCCTCTGCCCATGGCTATCAACCCTGCAGGAGGAGGGACGGTTACAGTAACAGAAGAAGGGACCTAGACCTCCTGTCAGTCAGGGAAAGTGTGAGACCAAAGTCTATAAAAATCCTTGGTGGAAGAACAGGCAAAATCAAAGACAGACTAGAAGTGTTCTTGCCTGTTCTATTCACTTCATCTGAAGCCTGTCACGGCTGGTTATTCAGGCCGTTTCTGCTTGTCTCTGAAGCGAAGTTGTTTATCTGCTGCTCCAAGCTCACTTTTGGGCCTAGTCTTACTAGCAACCCTGTGGTTTCATAGGATTGTAGGGTTATTGAGTTAGAGCAGGGAGGGTCCTTAGAGGCCGTCTAGTCTGACCTCCTCATTTTGCAGAAAAGGAAACCGAGGCCCATAGAGATTGTATGATCTGCCCAAGATCACAAAAGTAGTAAGCAGTGGGATCAGGATTTGAACCCAAGTCCTCTAATTCTATACTTCAGTAGCAGATGGCAGCTTTTCCTTGTCCTGTTTGCCCGGCATAGTTCCCTTCCCTCCTTCCCCCTTCTATCATCCTAGGGCCAGAAATAAACGTCTTTCCATTTCACAGCCTCACCCTCCCCAGACTCTGGTTTCCTTGATAAGTTTCTGTTTCCTGTTCCCTAGCTCTCCTTTCATTTGGAGAAGCCCCATGGGAGAGAGAATATAGCCCTGAGCCTGGGGTCAGCGAGATCTACCTTAGAATCCAGCTTTTAATAGTTACTGTCTGTGTAATCATGAGCAGGTTCACTTGAATTGTCTGAGCCTCAGTTTCTCAAATCTTCAGTGGGAACAATACCTACAGTTCTCATCTCACAGTATAGCTGCAGGAATCAAATGAGATCGTGTATATAAAGCACTCTATGAATGACAGCTGTTTTTATTGGACAGCAGAAATGACTGACAGATCCTAAGCTGCCAGACTTCATGCTGACGGTTCTCTCCTTCCTCACTTTTCCATGTTCTCCCTGACACGTCCCTCAGGGACAGCCTCACCCCCAGGGAAAAGGAATGTCCTTCTTGTCATACAGTGTTAAAGCTGAGCACTCTATTGCCTAGAGCCTGATTTTCTAAGAGTTTGTATTGAATTTGACACAATAGTACCAACATTGCCCTATTTGTCTGAGTGCCCTACTTAGAGATCATGTAGTCCAATCACCTTATTTCATGATTTTTCCCTAGAATCCTACTAGTACAGTTTTGCAATAGCAAAATATTTTACACCAACATTAATAAGAGTAGATGATTTCAGCTAGTGGTAAGAGAGCCTACTCATGATTCACTGTCCTTTTTTCAAAATTAAGTAAATAAATAAATAATTTTTTTCCAATTGCAATTTTAACATTCATTTTTTAAAATTTTGAGTTCCAGATTCCCTCCCTTCTTCTCCTACCCCTTCATTGAGAAGGCAGGCAATTTTATATAGGATATACATGTAAAACATATTTCCATATTAGTCATGTTGTAAAAGAAAACAGACAAAAAACACCCACAAAAATGTTTAAAATAGTGTGCTATTATATATGGAGTCTGCATTCAGATTCCATCAGTTTTCTCTGGAGGTAGATAGCATTTTTCATCATAAGTCCCTCGGAATTGTCTTGGATCTTTTTATTGCTCAGAAGAGCTAAGTTGATCATCATACAGTATTGCTATTACTGTGTATAATGTTCTCCTGGTTCTGCTCACTTAATTTTGTTATCAGTCCATGTAAGACTTTCCAGGTTTTTCTGAAACCATCCTGTTCATCATTTCTTTTAACACAATAGTACTCCATCACAATCATATACCACAACTTGTTCAGTCATTCCCCAACTGATTGATATCTCCTCACTGTCCAATTCTTGGCTACCACAAAAAGAGCTGGTATAAATATTTTTATACATATAGGTCTTTTTAAAAAATCTCTTTGGGAGCAACTAGGTGGCACAGTAGATAGAGCACCGGCCCTGGAGTCAGGAAGACCTGAGTTCAAATCCAGTCTCAGACCAGACACTTGACACTTACTAGCTGTGTAACCCCAGTTGCCTCACTCCAAAACAAAAATCTCTTTGGGATACAGACCTAGAAGTGGTATTGCTGGGTGAAAGGGTATACACAGTAAGTCCTTTGGGCATAGTTCCAGAAATGTTCTTCAGAATGGTTGGATCAGTTCACAAGTCCACCAACAGTGCATTAATGTCTCAATTTTCCCACATCCCTTCCAACATCTGTCATTTTCCTTTTCTGTCGCATTCACACTGTCCTTTGAGAAGCAGCTTTGCAAGCATTCACTCTTCATAAACGCTGCTTCTTCCATTCATTCATCTGGACCACAAGGGATAGTGTTGGAGGAGGACAGGGTATCAGGTCCTTTTCCTCCCTTTTCCTCCCTGTGCATCTGATCTTTGTGTACCCTTGGGCATGTCATCACCCCTCTTGGGACATTACCTTCCCCTTCTGTAAAAGGAAACAGTACATGTAGGGCAAATGAACCCCAAGCATTCTTAAAATGAGACGGGCAGGTTGACTTGGAAGGTTCCATCGTTGAAACCTCTGGGCCACTGGAGGGAAATTCCTAGTTTGCGTGTCACAAAACAGTGGAAAGGGAGGGCTTGCCTAGAAAATAAAGGAGGAATGGGGGGCACAATGGAAATTAATAAGGGGACACAGACAACCAGGGTGGTGTCAGTACTATTGTGTTAAATTTAATAGAAACATTTTTAAAAACACAGACTGTATCTAATACTCACAATCTCATGTGCAGTCCTCTCTGCTCTTTGTATGTTGAAGTGTTGGTGTTTTGTTGATGTTCGTTAGGTTCAAAATTTTTTAATTAAAAAAAAAAAACAAACAAGGGGGCAACTAGGTGGCATAGTAGATAGAGCACCAGCCCTGGAGTCAGGAGGACCTGAGTTCAAATCTGGCCTCAGACACATAACATTTACTAGCTGTGTGACCCTGGGCAAGCCACTTAACCCCACTGCCTGGCAAAAAACAAACAAACAAAAAGGAAAAAAAGGGGGGACTTAGATTAATGCCAATAAAGGGAAGAAGATTGGGAATCAGGGTAAGAAGAGAGATACTTAGTGAGTCCTTTGGGGAGTATGATTGAATGGACTAACAAAATGAGATTAGAGTTTATTTAAGATGGTACTGAGGCATTGGCTTAATGAGTGTGCAAGGAAAAGGGGAGGCCAGATGTTTGGTTTTTATCACCTCCCATCCTTTCCCCAGATTCCCCAAGGAATTTGGGCCCCAAGGAAAAGGATTCTTTATAGGATTGTAGATAGGATAGATAGATTATAGATAGGATTTAGGGATTTCAATTTGGAAGGGACCTTAAGGATTTGTCAAATTCCTTTTACAGATGAGGAAACTGAGGCCCAGATAGGTAAAAGGAAAGTTGCAGAGGTCAGCATGTTGTAGTTGAAAGAGCACTAGATTTGGAGAGAGATGACCTGGCTTCGAATTCTGGCTTTGCTACTTACCACCTCACTTCACCTCTCTAGGCCTCAGTTTCCTCATCTGTAAAATAAGGTTATCTCTGAATCTGAACTGAGATTTGGTAGTTTCTGACTTCAAAACCAGTGTTCTTCCCATTAAATAATTCAGCCTCTATAAAACTATTCCTGTTGAAGGGGCGTTAGGCCTTGACACTGAGAATCCAAATTAATTGCAGGGGTAGTCCATTAACTAGTGGAAATCCATCTGTTGCCCCAGTGCAGGGAAAATATTTAATCCTCACACTCTCCCCCTCAAGAAGTGAGACTGAGGACCCAGACTCTCAAATCACCAATGATCTTTTCCTTCTTATCTTACTGACAGTGATGATGACTTTGACATGTCCAGATATTCCTCCTCGGGCTACTCCTCAGCAGAGGTGAGTCATGAGAACGTCTGGAGGTTTTTACCACAAAGAGAGACTTGTACCTTTCCCTGGCTGTCAGCCCTGCAATAGACTAAGAAACCAGAAGGAAGGATTGTCCATCAGGGAAAAGGGTTAGGACGAAGGACTACAGCTTCTCCTTGGTGCTAAAGATAGTGGATTACAGACTGAGAAATAGGGTTACAACCTAAGGGCTATGTAGTGGAGTATCGGAGGCATAGGAGACCAAGGTTTAGGAACAGAAGATGAGAAACAGGAGTAGAATCTTAAAGGATAGGACTTTGGAGATAGGGATGGGGATGGGGTGGATAAAAAGATAAGGGGGTATTTGGGAACCTGGAAAGTAGGGGGGTGAGACCTCAGAGATAATGGTGGGACCTAGAAAGTAAGAGATGGGTTTTGCATGGTGGAAGATGGAGCCTACAAGTTAATTTCCCAGGCTAGCTTGCCCTGACCTTTACCCCAGGTTTGACCGCCCTCCCCTTTGCCTGCAGCAGATCAACCAAGACTTGAACATCCAGCTGCTGAAGGATGGTTACCGGTTAGATGAGATCCCCGATGACGAGGACCTCGACCTCATCCCCCCTAAATCTGTGAACCCCACATGCATGTGCTGCCAGGCTACTTCCTCTACTGCCTGCCACATCCAGTAACGGCCAGCATGGGCCAGGACAGGGGCAGAGGGGGGAGGGGGCACATCTGGTGCCCATTCCCTCCCTGGTTCCCATTCTGGGCCCTGCTCCTGGCCTTAGCTACTGGCCAACTTCTTAACAGCCATTGCTTCCTCCTATGGTAGGACGTGTACCTCTGTGTTCATGAAGCCGGGAGAAACCAAAATGAGATTTCACTGGGGGGTGGGGTGGGGGGAGGGTGGTAGGGGCTCTTTGTTCATTGATTTGTTTAAAGGGGACTCAGCCAGCTTCCCCTTCTCCCTAAAACCACCACCACCTCCATTGGCTTCCCAGCCATGACTGTCTCCAGCAGACAGACTGGCCAAAAATCCAGGGGAGAGCAGGAGGGGGAGATGGGAGAAGGAGAGACACCAGGGGTTAGCGAGGGCTGAAAGGGGACTGACAAGGGAAGCAGCCTGGAGCTCTGGCCTCCACAGGCCTAGGCTAAGTCAGTCTGTGTTTCATTCAGAAGAGAGCTCTGCCAGATTGTCCTCAGGCCAGGCCGTGACCTAGTCTGATTTCCCAGGATGCCCAGGCTCAAAGTCTTCCCCCAGAAGTCCTTGGAGATGGCCCCGTGATGATCTGCTGCAGACATAGAACACCTGGCAGCTGAAGGAAACCCCAAAGATTCCTCCTGGAACGGCTCAAGAAGGCCAGGTCCAGGGCCACTCAGCCTAGCCTGGCCTGGCCTGCCCTGGCTCAGCCTCGTGATATGAACTGTGGGAACTCATTATCTTTGCTGGCCCTGGCTTGTCCTCCTCCTGCCTTCTGACCTATATGCTGATTTTTAGGGTTTTTTTTAATGTTTAGTGTCCATCTCCCCTCCTCTCCTGTTCCGTCCAACTTGAGCACAGTTTCTTGGCTTCATTTTCCATCCTTTTCCCAGGGGATATAAAGGTAGAGGGGAGCCCTCCCATCTCTACCCCCAGGGGAGCAACTTCTTCTCTTGCTGGCATCCTCTGTCTCTCTTCCTCTCCCTCTCTCTGTTTAGGAGGAAAAGGGGAGCAGCAGTGTACATGGAATCAGGACCAAGGGGGCAATGAAGAGGAATTCCCATCTGCCCAGTTCTGTTGGTGCCCCACTGGGTTTTTAGGGGTGGTGGTGAATAGAGGGAACTACCTCTGGCCCAGCCTCGCCCCACTTCCCACCCCCCCATCTCCTTGTCTGCCACCAAGGCTTTGTGGGGAGCTGGAAGCAGGAAAGGAGAGGGAGTTACTAATGTCAGTCCCCCTCCTCTACTCTGTGGTCAGCTAGAATCGAGCCTCACCAGGCCTCCCTGTCTCCCTTGCCCTAAGGTTCTGCTTTTCTCAGCAGGCCAAGATATCCTTTGGGTCTGCACCAGGCACTGCCTCTGAATCTGCTCTCCCCTACCCACACGGCTAGCTTCCTTCCCACTGTCACTCGAGTGAGCTGAACTTGCTGCTTGGGAAGTCACCACTTTTGTCCACATCCTCCCCTTCATGAGGCTCCGAGGAGATTGCATAGAATAGGCATTTTCAGGGAAGTGTGTGTGTGTGTGTGTGTGTGTGTGTGTGTGTGTGTGTGTGTGTGTATGATTATATGTGTACACGTGTGTGTGTCTGTCAGTATGTGTCTTTGGGTAGTATGTCTCTGTGTGTATCTGGTTCTGCCTGTGTGTGCGTGTGTGTGTGTGTGTGTGTGTGTATATGTGTGTGTGAGAGAGAGATATGTCTGTATAAGTGTGTGTAGGGTATGTACTTGCATATCTGTGCTACTGCTAGTATTTCTGTTTGGGTTACAAGGGTCAAAAAATCCTGGGCCCCTCTTCCCTCTTCCTGAGGGTCCTGGATCCTGAGTTTGCCTCCCCTTAGTAGGAAAGGAGAGAATACGATCCCATGTGCCAAGGGACGCTCCTAGTTTCAGGATGGGCAGTGACCTCAAAGGCTGATGCAAGCACAAAGGAAAACTGTTTGCTTACCAGCGCTTGCCTAGCTCTCTGGAGCTACGTGTTTGGTAAAAACAAAAAATCATTTGGGGAAGGAGGGAAGTCCAGAGGGTCCCTGCCTTTAGGGCTAGGAGGTGGAAGGAGCAGGATCAAAGTGGACCAGACCAAGCCAAGCTTTGGTCTCCTGTGTCCCAATCTCGGATAGGCCAGCCTCTGGAAAAGCTGATTTGCGAAACAGTCAAGGTTGTCAGGACCCTCGCCAGACATAAGCCCAGCAAGGCCATTCCCTCCCTGCCTATCCTCTAGCCTATCTTTGTGTGCCCAGCCCCAGCCTCCCCACCTCTTAAGTGGGATTTGGGATTGGGGTACAGATTATAGACTAGCCCAGGCTTTCTCAAGCCTAGTTACCTAAGGGAAAAGGATCTCCCTGTTCTGATAGGTAGAGGGGAAAGTAGTGCTCTCCCTTCAGTCCTTCATATGGTACCACATACTGGTATAGTCACTCATTTGTTGAACCATCACCCCCCTTATGCAGTTACATACATACATATGTGTATGTATATATGTGTGTGTGTGTGTGCATATACATATATATATATATACACACACACACACATCCATATACACACACATCCATATACACACACACATCCAACCACACTCCGTGTCCAAGCACCATTAAATGTGGAGGCCAGGTGTGACTCTGAGAAGGTGAAGAGGTTACTTAACTACCCTACCCACTACTGTTTGCTGGCTCCTCAGAAACGCCCACCAGACCCTTAAGGGGATGGGGATAAGTGGGCAGCCACATATAAATTGTAGCTCCAGTCCCCTTCCAGTGACCACTCCCATCTAGTGTAAGGTAATGGCAGCATTCCTGAGGGTAGAGTTGTCCAGAGGAGTAGTGCCCATGGGAAGTGAGAGACCCAACTACAAGCAGGCCTGCAAATCACTGGGGCAGAAATAGACTGACCATGAGGGCTCCACTGATTTATTCCTGTCCCCCATTCATGTACAAGAAGACTTCTGACCCCCAGAAATAGTGTTCTTCCCATTCTTAAGTCCTCTACTGCCCTATTTCAACCACCAAGACCTCCCCTTTTCCCCTAGACCCCTTCTCTACAGTCAGGCCCCCTGAGCCTACCTGTCTTCTTGTGTCTTCCATCTCAGGTGGAACCTATAACTTCACTTCTGACTAGAGACTGGACCATCACCAAAATCAGGGTGGCTTAGTCCCTTAGAATGGAAACAGGATACCTGTGTTCTGATGTGGGTTTGACTGATTAGCTTTGTGATTGCTCTCCCTGGGTCCCTGTAGGATAAGGATAAGGATCAAGGAAATGAAAGAAAATTCTTTGTGGAGGTGGTGGTGGTACCTCATCTCGCTGCTGGGAGCCAAGGTATTCTCCCCTCTGTGTCTGGCCCCCAGGCTGGGAGAGAAAGGGAGGAGGGAGGGAGGCAGAAGCCCTCTGGGCCACTTCGTGGGTTGGGAAGAATCCAGCTTTCTGTGGAACTCCCCCTCTCCCATGATATGACCCCTTCCTGCAATCACAACCCCATTCCTCCCAGCTCACCTCCTGACTTCCTCCCCTTCATCCCTCTCACCCTGTCCATGTAGGTACTTGCCTTAACCTCGCTGGTCCCCAGCCCTGCCCCTGGCCCTCAGCCCAGTCCTCATGACTCTGGGTTCTCTTCCTTTGGAGTGTCAGTTACTCTGCATTAATTTATTTAAAAGGTGTGTTTTTTGGAGACATGAGACGTGTATAATATTTTTTTAACATTTCCATCGCAGTATTTATCATTGTTCCTGGTTGTGTGTCGTGTAACACAATTAATAATATTAAAAAGCATAATATGAACAAACCTGCCCCGTGGCTCCCTGGTTCACTGATGGGGGTCGGGGAGACCTGGGGAAGTGTGGTTGGGAGGCAGGATACCTGGGTTCTAGATTCTTCTCCCCCAGACTGTGACTCAGGGCAAGACCTGGTGTTGCAGGGAGCCTTGACTCTCCTTGGCTAGCCAGCAACATCCATAACCTTCACGTAGCCCCACACGGAGGTAGGTAGAGGAAAGGACATAAGGCAACAGCCACTTACATAGTGTGCCAAATCTCACCTTCACACCCTGGGAGGCAGGTGCTATTATTATCCCCATTTTACAGATGGGGAAACTGAGACAGAGGTTAAACAATTTGCCCAGGATCACACAGCTAGTAAATGTCTGAGGCCAGATTTGAACTCAGGTCTTCCTGACACCAGGACCAATGTTCAATCTACTGCACCACCTAGCTGCCTCTACAAGGACCCAGGCTTTTCAAGTCAATGTACATTAATGAACCATAATTAATACAACTATCAACCATAGAGAGTTGGTGAGAGGGGAGGAAGGAGGAAAAGCTAGACCTCTGATTACGTGGTGGCAAAAACTCTCAGTAAGAAAACACACTCTACCAATATAGGTAAGCAACTATTCTACAAGTTTATGTAGTCTTAAAAAGGTACACTGAGCAACCTGCATAGCATCCTGAGGCAAGGTCATAGGCCTTAAGAGCAGAAAGAGAGACTGTCCTGACTCCAAGACTGGCCCTCTGCCCACTATAACAGTCTGCCTCATACCGTATATGTCTGTCTCATACCATATACATATATATATATATCGAGAGAGACAGACTGTCTGAGGGGAATGCTCTGCTCTCAGCTCTCTTGTTCCCCTCTTACTTGGGCTGTCAGAAGTCTGCCCAGCCCTCTTGTTCCTCCTCCCCTTCCCTTTCCTTCCAGGTCTCAGTGAGGGAGAGTTGATGTATATGGGAAGGTAGGAAACTGCCCATCCAGCAGGCAAGAAGGTTCACCAAGGATCTACCACCTATAATCCCAACGGTCCCTACAAGGGGGAAACTTCCTTAAGCTCAGGAAGCTCGCTACTTTTCTGGGATTACGAAGGGTCTGGGTTCAGGCTTTATCTTTCAGAGGCTGAATAACAAATGTACAAAGCCCCCTTTGTATCTTGGAAATACACTTAGGGTTGGCTCCTCATCCCAGCTCTATCATTAACTGTCTATGTTCCTTTGGGCAAGTCATTTCTCATCTCTCAATTTTCTCATCCAGAAAATGGAGAGGGGGAAAAGCAAGCAATTTTATAAGATGATATACTAGGTCTCTTCACCTTTGAGACTGTGATCCTAAGAGGAATCTTAATGAAGGAGAAGAAGGGAGAGAGAACGATTGGTTGGGTTGGGGAGGGGGAGGGGTGTTAACCTAGAGACAGCATGGCCTGGTTGATAGGACTCTGGACCTAAGAGACAAGAACACCTTAGTTCAAATCTTCAGATACTTACTAGCTCTGTGGGCAAATCACTTATCCTCCCAGCCTCAGTTTCCCCATCTAAAAAATGAAGTGATTGGACTCCAAGGTCCCTAAGGTCTCCCTATGACCTCCTGGGACCCATGTGTTAACCCTAATGGTGAGGGAGGGAGCTGGTCTGCAATGATGTCACAATAGGCAGCTCTAGGATCAGTGGGGTGCAGGGTGGGGGATGGGGATGGGAGGGTGTCTGTGGGGGGGGGGGGCCAAGAGGGGAGATGGACCACAGCAGCCCAGCAACACCTATAGACAAGTGGTGCAGGATCCTTGGGAACAGGGTACTTCCAGATGCTCAGCCAGAGACTCTGGAAGGCACTACCCGCCAAGGTGGTGCCTGGATTCCACCATGTTCCTCTTTGCTCCTAAGACCAAGACTCCTATAAGTACGTACACTGACTCCTACAGACCCCCAGCTTCCATCAAGCAAGACTATAAAGACCCACCGCTATGGGCGTGGGAAGAGAACAAGTTTGTAAGCAAGGTGAGTAGAGGAATAAAAGGAGGGAAGGAGGTGGGAAGAAGAGGTGATGGGATCTCACAAGAGCCATTTGTGAAAGAGTGTGATGGTAGATGAGTGTATTTGTGACAATACATATGCCTCTGTATATGTGTGTGTGTGTATGTGTGTGCGTGCATGCATGCATGGATGGATGTTTGTGTGGGCATATTTGTGAAGGCCTTTGTGTGTATGAAACTAATCACTCACTCACGTTTAAAAGAAATGGAAGAGCTGGAATCTCCTGGTTTCATCAGGGTGGCTAGGGGTTTGGGTGGAGGAGGCCATTCAAAGCAACCCCCTGAGATAGCACAAGGCACCTATGAAGTTTTGATTTGTCCATCATTGACCCATAGGGATTAGATTGTGTCTCTCAAGGAATTAAATCAAAGGGGAGAGATTTCGTAGCCCTTAGAACTGCTCCCTTCCCTTCTGTCTCTTTAATATTGCACTTTATCATAATTTCAAATGACTTAACATCCTTGATTCAATTTGACCCTGTAGGTTAATCTGGGCAGGAATTATCCTACTTGATAGTTTGGGAGAATGAGACTGAGAGGTAAAATGACTTTCCCAAGGTTACACAGAATAGTAGGAAATAGCTAAGATTAGAACCCAGGTATCTTCTCATCTCTACTTCTTCCACACACTGCTTCTGGGTAATGACTCCAGCAGGGTTCAAGCTGAGAAGCTGCACTCTGGATTCTCTGAGATCAGAGATGCAGATTTCTCTCATCACCCCAGGGACACTCCAAAGACTGAGTCACCATCAAACCACCACCATGATTTGTGAGATAGTTATTATCTCTGTTATCTCTATCAACAAAGGGAAAATGAAACTTGTCTTTGTTCTGCAACAGAATTGCCCTCCTCACTCTACCTGGCTGAGGTGGCTATTCATTCTGAGTATAGGGATATAGGAATACTAGCCTGGGATTCAACCCTGGTCATAGATAATCCACAAAGTGGATTATCAAGAGTTGAATGATAATGCTACAGGGGAATTACATAGTTCTGTCATCTGTCTGACAGTCCATCCATAGGGCCCATATTATAGGTGAACAAGTAGCCTGTAAACAAGTTAAATACTTCTTTCCTATTGCTTTCTTAGGGGTCAGTTTGTCAATGCCCCTGATACTAGTGGGTCAGGACTACCCATCACCCAAATAAAGCAGGTCAAGCTCCTCTCCTCTTTTTTTTCTCCTCTGTCTTTTTTCTTCCCTTCAGGACCCATTCCTGCAATTCTTTATTCCCTGCTATTAAATTCTTTCCAATATTTAGCTTCATTCCCTCTCATTCCCTTTGCTCTGTCCCTGAGGGAAGAGAGGTCACACATGAACTATAAGATGACAAGCTTGAGAGGATTAACTGAATTTACAACTTGTCTGGAAGTTTTTGAACCATGGTGAGGCAACTCAGAATATGGAGAGAGGAGGTAGAAAGCACCAAGAAGGAAAATATTGGCCTGATAGAAGCCTGGTTCAAAGATCAAGGGGCATCTATGTAGGGAGATTTC